ATGATCCATCCATCATCCATCCATCATCCATCCATCAATCATCCATCTATCATCCAGCCATCCATCATCCAACCATTCATCATCCATCCATCATGCATCCATCCATCCATGATCCATCCATCATCCATCCATCCATCTATTCATCCATCCATCCATCCATCCATCCGTCCATCATCTGCCTCTTGTTCTGAGGTCGGGTCACGAGGTCAGCAGCTCAGCAGGGATGCCCAGACATCTCTTTCCACACCTCCAGCTCTTCTGCGAGGATTCCAAGGTGTTTCCAGGCAGGCCAAGAGACACAGTCTCTCCAGCGTGTCCTGGGTCTTCCCTGGGTTTTCCTCCCAGTTGGACATGCCCAGAGTACCACCCTAGGGAGGTGCCAAGGAAACATCCTTACCAGATGCCCAAACCACCTCAGCTGGCTTCTTTCGATGTGGAGGAGCAGCGGTTTTACTCCGACTCTCTCCTGATAACTGAACTTCTCATCCTGTCTCTAAGGGAGAGTCCAGCTACCCTGCAGAGGAAACTCATTTAAACCTCCTGTATCTGCAATCTTGTTCTTTTGGTCACTACCCAGAGTTTGTGGCCATAGGTGAGGGTAGGAACATAGACTGACCGGTAAACAGAGAGCTTTGCCTTACTTACAGCTCCCTCTTCACCACAACAGACCGGCACTGAGTCCACAATACGGCAGACGCTGCATCAATCCGTTTGTCAATCTACCACTCAATTCTTCCCTCTCTCGTGAACAAAACTCCAAGATACTGAACTCCTCTACTTGAGGCAGAACTTCACCCACAACCTGGAGAGGACAGTCATTCCTTTTCTGACTGAGGACCATGGCCTCAGATTTGGAGGTGCTGATCCTCATCTCTCATATCTCATAATAAACCTCATATCTCAGCTGCTTCACACTCGGCTGTGAACCGCTCTGGTGAGAGCTGAATATCATGGCATAATATTGTTGTGGTCCAATAGGACTACATCATCTGTAAATAGCAATGATAGAATCCTGAGGCCACCAAACAGGACTCCCACTGCTCCCTGGCTGTCCTGAGAATTTCTATCCATAGAAGTTATGAACAGAATCAGTGACAACGGGCAGCCCTGGCCAAGTCCAACTCCCATCCTGAAGGGGTCCTCCTTACTGCCAGAAATATGAATCAAGCTGTCACACCATCTGTATAAGGACCCATAGCAATATACTCCCAATCCTATACTCACGGAGCACCCCCCACAGTGCACCTCAAGGAACACTGTCAAATGCCTTCTCTAAGTCCACAAAACACATGTAGACTTGATGGGACATCTATGACCCCTCGAGAACGCTAGGGAGGGTAAAGATTTGGTCCAGTTTTCCACAACCAGGACAGAACCTGAATTGTTTCAGAACCCAAGGTTTGACCAGTAATCGGACTTGCTTTTCCAGTACCTCTGTATAGACCTTACCAGTAAGGCTAAGGAGAATGATGCCCCTATAATTTCAACACACTCTCTGGTCCTCTATTTTGAAGAGGGTAACCACCACCCCAGTCTGCAGATCTAGTGGCACTGCCACCCATGTCCACGCAAGGTGTGTTAACCAAGACAGTCTAGCAACATCCAGAGACTTGAGGAACTCAGGTCGGGTCTCATCCACTCCAGGAGCCCTACTGAGCTTGTTAACTACCTCAGAGACCTCAGCCCCAGTTACTGTTACTAAAATACTGTTTCAGGTGTTGGTGTAGATTCTAAATCATCCAGGACATGGCAAATCCAGAATGAATGAATAAATAAAACAAAGCAACTGGACTTCTGTTTTGTATATAATAGAAGTCCAGTTGCTTTGTTAATAAAAACTGTTTTACATTTTTTTATTTAATGTTTCAGGTCTTCGTAAAGTGATGGTCCGAGCCCACCGGCAGGCATGGTGCTGGCAGGATGAGTGGTATGGTCTAACCATGGAGGACATCAGGGAGCTGGAGCTGGAAACCCAGCTTGCTTTAGCCAAGAAGATGGCCCAGTACAGCCAAAGTGAGGAGGGGGCAGTGGAGACCAACAGCTCCTCTGTTAATCAGGACCAGGATCAAGAAGTGGAGATCCCAGGGTCGGCTGCAGAGGCTGAAGGAGCAGACGGGAAGCTCGGCGAGTCACTGGAGTCACGAGGGGAGCTCACCAAGCAGTGGTCCACATCTTCCAGATCTTCCAACAGATCATCAAAAAGAGGAAGTACGTACATCTATTGTTACTTGGATAATTGGCCGTAGCTGAAGAAAAATCTGAGGGTTTTTGTTTTTGCCGAGCATTTAGGTTTGTTTGTTTCTGATTTAATAAAGTTCATTTATGTAGCACCACTGCAGCAAAAGTGATGTTAGAGGACAACACAAAAACAGTCTCACACGTTATAAAATGTCAATTAATAAAAATTATATATATATATATATATACACAGTATATATATATATATATATATATATATATATATATATAATGTTTAATATAAGTTTATAGTTTGCCAGAACTCCTGAATCAGTATAGGTTTCTTAAGTAAAGGTTTATTTACAGCAACCTTGTCATGTGTTGCACTGTTAATGATCTCAGTCTGTATTGCAGAGATTTCATTGGAAGCTTTAGAAATTATTTATTGAACTTCTGCAACTTATTAATTTATTTAAGTCCACTCAATTCAATGGGGGCGGAGATGGGGTAGAGGCAGGGCTGCCGACCCGGGACCCGAAAGCCTCAGGATCAATCTCCAGCCATTCCCACATGTCATGGTGCCACTGAGCAAGACACCCAATCCCCAACTGCTCCCCGGGCACCCACATAGCTGCCCACTGCCCCACCTGAGTGCATCCCAGGTGCGATGGGCTAAATGTAGAAAAGTAATTTTTCCGTTGTACGGGAACATACAATGACAACACATAGCACTTATACTCACTTTTATAATTGAAGATGGTCGTCATGTTTTACCCAACACTAAAAAACTACTATAACTCAGTCAACTTTACTAACATTGACTCAAATCTCATGTGGAAGTAGTTGAGCTTCATCAGCACGTGCTCCAAGTGCTACACCTTGTGCAGTCTTGGGCAGATTTTAATGAGACTCCCAGAAAGTAATTATTAAACTGTACATCTACAACTGATTATAACTCATTGACAAACCAGTTCATCAATTAACTGACTTAGTCAACACACGTGTAAATTAGTTAATTTCAGATAAATATCTGAATTGGAATGCAAGCTGTCCGATGACTTTGTGATTTGTGTTTGCAGTGAGTCCTTCTCACCAGTGCATTTCAGAGTGGAGGATGCAGAGCATCGCTCGGGACTCTGATGACAGCACAGATGATGAGTTTTTTGATGCTCATGGTAAGAAAATTAAAAAATCATGCTGCATTACTTCAAAATCATCTTAGAAACTAAAGCATTCATTTAGGATTCTGAACGTCTTGTAGGAAATCATAAAGTTCTTCCTGATGCAGCTTGATTTATGTTTTAATCATATCAATTGGCCTAGTTTTAGTAGTTTTTTAAATCTGTTTCCAATTTCCTCCTCAGTCCATTTAGTCTCTGTTTGTCCCTCTCTGGAGTCGGTCATTGTGCTTACATGCCCTGTCTGGTTCTTGTCTGGTCTTTCTGTGGTTCTCGAGTTATATGCAACAACAGCTTGTTGTTTTCCAATGTTTTCTTAATTATTCCCCAAACGAAGGTGGGAATTGTAAATTCCCTCCGTCCATCCGTCCTTCCATCTTGTAAGCATTAATTCAACCTGTTTCTACAGGTTAGTGTCATTGAGCCTCGAGGACTCATTTACAAGAGAGACCTGATTTAAACAAAGAACACAGACGAGGTGCAGACAACAGTAGACAATCACACAGTATAAAATAGAACATGAAAAAGTAAATAGAAAAAAGGAAATAAAAACTAAACAAAACCAGCTACATTATAAATCGATGTAAACTAAAAACAGGAACACGTCTGTGTTGGTTTCTCCCACGAACTGAACAGATGTTTGAAGTCACTTAGAGAGGTCAAAGGTCGAGAGCTTCAGGTCTTTTTACAAGATATTCCAGGAAACAGGAGCGGAGTAGGAGAAGGTCCTTTTGTCTAGTTCAGTCCTCACTGAGGGAACACTGCAGGTAATGATGTCCTGAGAGCGCACGCTGTAGCTGCACTCACACAGAGACATGTAGGAGGAGATGTATGAAGGCAGCAGACCAGGAAGTGATTTAAAGATGAAAATGTACCAGTGAGAGAGTCTGTGTGAAGTTAATGGTGACCAGTTAACCAGTGGATACTGGGTGCAGTGGTGGGTACGGTAATCACAGCCAGTTATGAATCTTAGTGCACCATGATAGACAGCATCCAACATCTGCAGCATCCAACATCTGCAGCATCCAACATCTGCAGGGTTCTTGTAGGAGCGTTCATGTAAATAATGTCACCGTAATCAATGGAGGGAAGGAAAGTCACAGATACAAGGTGTTCCTCAGGGTTCAGAGTTAGACAGGATCTGTTTCTGAAAAAGAAACCCAGTTTAACTTTCAGTTTCTTTACCAAGTTTTCCACATGGAGCTTAAAAGAGAGATGTGAGTCGACCAAGATACACAGATATTTATAGGAATCCAAATTCAATGGGGACACCATTAGAAGATAAAATAGAAGGAAGGACTGCTGGGACCGACTTCCTGTTTGAAAACAACATTCCTTTAGTTTTATCAGCGTTTAGCACCAGTTTGAGACGGAACAAATCTGACTGGATGTCGAAAGCAGACTGTAAAAGCTGGAAAGCCTGAGCAACTGTTCTAGCTCAACAGTAAACTACTGAGTCGTCAGCATACATAGCACGGGAACTGGAAAAATAATTGAGCCACCAAGTACCATTCTAGTGTGCATCTACGTGTAAGGTCACTATCAAAAATTGGGTTGTTCACGTTCACGTATGCTGAAGGTATAAAAGTTATAAAAATGTAGTCATTGCAGTCAACACTGGCAAATCAATGTGTAAAAGTAGCTGTAAACAAGAAAACAACAGTCAAACCACCTCAAATGTCTAAAATGTGGCACAGCAGAGAATCCTGCAACATAACCCTTTGAAAAACAGAAGAACTCGATCACCGTCCTTCTGAGACCTTCTGAGACCTGAAGGGGTTTTAGGTTTCAGAAAGAAAATGTATTCAGAACCATAAAACCATGAACAACACAACCAGTGCATGACAAAAATCTGTGTAAACCTGGAACAAAGAAGAGTATAGAATTACAGCCAGGCCCTTCTGTGTCTTTTGCAGAAGAATTTTCTGATAACGAGGACATGTTATCCAAGAAGATCACAAAGTGGAGCTCCAACGACCTCATGGACAAGATCGAAACAATAGAAGTGGACGAAGCACGAGGTGAGAGACCGTCTGAGGAGAAATACTTGTACTCTGGCGTCATTTTATAATATTCTCATTATCATTTGCTGCCGAAAGGAGAAGGTGGGCGATAATACAGTGTGTGTGTCATTTGTTTGTTAGCAAAATATTTCATAAACCAGCTGATCTTAATATCCTGACACATGCTCAATAATCCAGATAGAAAAATGTAAAAAAGTTAAGTCAGTTCATCTGGATGGGTTCAAAAAAACAAACAAATGTAGAAACGTTTTGTCTTTCATCCGAAGGACTTCTTCAGTCTGAGGAGCTGTGATAATCTCAGTCTTATAAACAGCACCTTCTCATAGTGGATCCACCAGTTTGTTGTTGACATCCAGAACCAGCTGTTCACATGACCAGCTGTTTATGATCAGCTGATCTTAAAAAACACACAAGTTTTCACTCGGTCAGTTTCTGTCTGTCTTTTTCAAAATGTCTCATGAACCACTGGGCTGATTTTAATAAAACTTTCAAAACGCAACCACTGGATATACCTCGACAACTTTCCGACCCAATTCAAGATGGCCGCCACAGCCAGCGGACTTAGAAAAACAAAAGTTGTTATAATTCAGCCAGTCCTACAAATATTGCGCTAAAATGTTGGTGGTTATAGTTGAGTCTTTCCCAACACATACTCCATGTTTGTTGTCCCTCGTCGTGGAACAAAGAGGTAGGATTGGAAAGAACCCCCGACCCTCAGCTCATTCCTCGACCCGTCCCTCAGTCTATACATCGTGCATGTTGTGAAAATGATAACTTGAAAAACAGATTAGCTGCCGACTTCCACTTTGGTATGTGGCAACATCTAGACGCAAGAGAAGTCACCATTAGAAAATTTGGTTGCCATGTCAAAATCCAAGATGGCCACCACAATATATGTATGTATGTCAGAGTCAGAGTTTCTTTGTCTTTCACACCTCATGTGGTACATGTGGTGGAACGAAATTGTGCACACAGGGTCCCAGTTACATCCAACAATAAAATGTAAAAGAAAAACAGTAATAAGATCAAAGATATGAACTAAGAAAAACATAAACTAAAAATACGCCAAGCACTAACAGCATAAAAACAATAAAAACTATTCACCAAACAGCAGCACGAACATGAGTCTGTGTGAGCAAATGAGCATGAATAAACACAGCAACATGAAACAGATCAGCAGCAACATGGAACAGATCAGCAGCAACATGGAACAGATCAGCAGCAACATGAAACAGATCAGCAGCAACATGAAACAGATCAGCAGCAACATAGAACAGATCAGCAGCAACATGGAACAGATCAGCAGCAACATGGAACAGATCAGCAGCAACATGGAACAGATCAGCAGCAACATGGAACAGATCAGCAGCAACATAGAACAGATCAGCAGCAACATGGAACAGATCAGCAACAACATGAAACAGATCAGCACCAACATGAAACAGATCAGCAGCAACATGGAACTGATCAGCAGCAACATGGAACTGATCAGCAGCAACATGGAACAGATCAGCCGCAACATGGAACAGATCAGCCGCAACATGAAACAGATCAGCAGCAACATGGAACAGATCAGCAACAACATGATGTGATTTTTCACAGTGATTATTCTAGTTAGAGATTCATGAGTCTAACAGCCTCAGGGTAGAAGCTGTTCCTCAGTCTAGTGGTTCTACACTTAATGCTCCTTAAACCTTGTGTGCTGGATAAAAACAAGCAAAGTGTCGACTTCCACTTTGGCGTGTGGCTGCATCTAGTCGTAGGAAAAGTTATTTCTGAAAATTTGGTTGCCACATATATATATATATATATATATATATATATATATATATATTAGGGGTTGAACGACTACATAATTTTTAAACTCGACATTAACATAATAAAACTCGAGTAGAACTCGAGTAGTTGATGACGTCATAGGATCTCAAGATGCAAAAATAAATAAAAAATCGCAAAAAATGTGATTTATTATTTACAAGAAAAGACCAACAAAACATTGGGAGCATATATTTTGCTCCTCCCATTTATCATACTGCAAATAAGTCACAGGAAAAACTAAACTATTAGTTTTTATTATTAAGCTGCAAAAGTGAAAGAAACGTGCAGCACGTCAAAAACTAAACTAAAACCAGTGGGGGGGTCGACCACCCCGCACCACCACTAGCTGTGCTGCGCATTACGTTTAGTTTTAGAGATAAATATGTTTATAGGTTTTTATAGATTTAGAAATTAATATGTTTGATTTTTTTATAGGTTTAGAGATTAATATGTTTATAGATTTTTTTATAGGTTTAGAGATTAATATTTTTTGCTTTTTGTTTGTGATACAAGGTCAGAGGAAGCTGGTTCTGGTTCGGTCAATTGGACCCGGTGTTACACCATATTCTGTGACCTGCAACAGTGCATGCAACACCGCCCCCTACGGTCACAATATATGGTGGTCACAGAATATGGTGCAACACCGGTTCACAACAAGCTCCAAAGAGTCAGGAAGTTGATTCATCTCCTGTTTCCTTACGGTAGTTGAACCAGAAGATTCATCTTTAGTGAAATATTTCCAGACTACTGATGCATTTCTACCTGTTTGCCAAGACTGGACCAGCTCCACTCAGTCCATCTGCTGGGAGGAATCCAGTTGGTAGCTTCTACTAGTAGCCCGGTGCGGATCACGTGACACAATGACGTCACTGCGAATACTCAACATGAAAATTAAAAACCCAATAGATGTTCTAGGAATCGACCTGTCGATTACTAGAGTAGTCTGTTAAAGCCCTAATATATA